AGGTTTCGGACAGGCCTGCCACATGAATTTTATGCGACCACATATAATGTCTATACTACTCTTGTTTGCTAACATTGATCTACAGTTATATTGTAAAATGTTTATTTGTTTCATAATGAAAGGAGTACTGATTGATTTATTTTTCTGAACTCACAGGTAAATCCTTATTAGATTTTTTCTTTTTTAAACTTGCAGGATCTCTATTTTGTGTTTAATTTTTACCATTTTGAGAAAAACATCACTTAACAATTTTTTAATACGGGATCATTTGGATTATAGACGTCCTTTAGCAGCCTAATGAAGTGATATAGGCCACCTGATGTGTTAGGATCTTCATTTTCCTATTGGATTTTACTTCATTTTCAGAATCAGAATCTGATTTATTTTTTACTCTTTTTCTAGGGTTTATAAAGTTTCCCTTGTCAGCCATTTTTCTTTATAAACAGTTTTATGCTATGTCCGATTACAGCCCCATTCTTTTCTCTCTTGGTTGAGGTGGAACATGAATCCTTTTAGGTTTATTAAATGTCTGGAAGTTGCAATATTACCTTGGTCTTCCTCCTCTTCCAGGTCTGATAGAACCATGAATTTATTGTTTATTAAAGCCCCACTCTGGTTAGAGTTCTTGATTTTCATTGGAGGGAAATCTTTATCTTTATTCAAGCTGCTAAGGTTGACTCTAACTGTTCTCGAGTATTTATCGTTATCAAAGATTTTTTTTGCTTCGTAGAAAGATAAATTCTGTGTTGCCATTAATTCATTAATATTTTTATATCTTTTATATATTCTGCAATCTTTATTATAAGCCTCGTGGTTATCTTTGCACAGGCAGCATAGATAGTTGTTATCTTCTATACATACGTCTTTAATATGAGGACCTGCACATTTGGGACACGTTAGGTCGTTCCGGCATTTTTCCCGAACGTGGCCAAATCGCCAACATTTGTGGCATTGGGTAATCTTTTTAATAAATGGGCTGACTGGGCATTTAACAGAATGATCCTACCTTATCCGGCAGAGTTGAACCCCTGAAAGATAATTCACACGCATTGCGAGTTAATTCTGCGCCTTTTGATGTTTTTTTGTACAAACACTTTACATCTATTATCGGAATAACTGATTCTATCTCTTCTAATATTTCTTCTGCAGTGAGATTAATGTCTACATCAAAGATTATACCTTCCCAATTAATAGGTATTTAGGAATGTAAGCTTTCAATTTATTATCAGTAAAAAAACTATCGTCAAGAAGGCTATTTGCTGTTTTACCGTTCCTAAGAACTAGTTTGACTTTATTGTTACCAATCACGATAATCTCCAACAAATCTTCTTTCGGAATCGATCGTGATCTGTGTAGTAATTTTCCGAGAGCCATTGGGTGTAAACGTCCAATGTTTTTACTTAAAGATTCTACGTAAATGTAAAAAGGTCCAGTATCACACATATCAAAACGATTCGGTAGATGAATTTCATCAACGTTAATTCGATTAGAATTCTCATTACTAGGTACTTGCTCAGTCATTTCAATATTTTGTGCTTCATTGCTTTTGTCACACACATTAACCATATTAATCGAATCTTCAATTCGAATTGACTCTTCAATCACCGTTTCAGCACTATTAATTTGCATTGGAATATAATCACTTCTTATTATGCTCTCCTCATTATTTGAATTACGTAAATCTGTATTATTTTCATTTCCGACATAGTACACATTCATTGCATTTGCAACAGTCACGCCAATTTCCGAACATGTAGGAGGATTTTTATCGGGCGGACGGCCCTTTAATTGTCCGGTATCGGACTCCATGAAGACATTAAATTAATTAACACAGCAAAAATGCGGTTAATTTACTTAATAACCACTTATATTAACATAAAATACACAATGTTTATACGACACTGCGTGCCCCCGGCAAGGGGACACGTGTTTAACGGTATCTATTTGTACACAATGCAGACACTAACACAGGTTGCTGGACAGGTAGATAAAATATATTAGTACTTTTTGATATTTATGTAATGATTATTTATTCACCGATGTTAACAGCTCAACGTCTGAACGAATACTGATACCAAATATTCAATTTGACTAAATATTGTTCAATTTAATAAATAATTTTCTTACTACTTATTACAAACATATATTGTAAGTTAACATACCAATTTTAGTGCAAATATTAGTATTTATTCTTCAGATTTAAATAGTAAAAATCAAAATTATAGATAGATAAACTTTTTTTTGTTTTTACTCAATATTCAAATTTGGAAAAAATCATGGTGAATATATGGAAAAAATATACTAAGAAACCTGGAAATTATTTTGTATATATCATCATATCCATTTTTTACAACACTATTACATACTACAAATTGCATTTTTATTCTTTCAAATTTAGCAGCATAGTTAATTGGAGCTTCGTATTTCCTTCTTGTTTCAGTATATGAATTCAGCTTTGACTAAATCTTATTAAATCCATACAGAACTTATTTTATGGTATCATTTATATTGTATGCATATCCATCTTTTAATACAAAAAAGCATCTTTTGATATAAAAAACATTATAAATGTCTGCGGTTTGTGGTATATGAGTATCGACCTCATCTTTCTTAATAGCACTTGCAAGGTCGAACAATAAAAATTAGTTCCCAAGAAAAGAAAAATGTTCAACTTTCACGGTATCATATAACACCTGGCTATTTATGACCGTTTTTTATACATTTTGAAATAAATATTTTAGTTTATTTTAAAAAGTGTTAAAAAATTGATTTGAAACACTCTCAGAAATCGGTTTATGGTGAAATTACTTCAACTTCAATATTTACTTAAGGTGTGATATCAGAAAATAATGAATTAAAAGATGTTAAAGACTCTTTTATGATTGATTTTATGTTTTAGTGGGAAATTAAAATATTTTTTTATTGAATCAATTGATTGTCTGTTGTGTACACTTCCTCTTTGTTTGTTGGGTTTTCAACCTCAGAATTCGAAATACAATAAATAAAATGATACAAGAGTAGAAAACAAAATTTAAATTTAATTTGAACACATATTTTTATTGGTAACTAATAAATTGGAGTTTTTTGCACCAGATTTTTGGTGTAAGATTTTTTAAAAATTGGTGCTTCTGGCAAGCAATTGTAATTAAAATTTATGTAAAAAGTTTTATTTATTTAAGTAATAGTGTATAAATAAATATACATAAATGAGTAAAGTTATAAGTGATCAAGATTTATAATGTTAGTCTTTTTATTAATATCAATAATAGAAATATATTCAGTTAGTCTTGCAAAGTTTAATATTTTACAATTTGTGATAAAATAGGGTAGGGCGGGGCTAGTTGAGCAAATTTTTACTTGAACTGATGTAGCTCCTCAATGAAAAGTCTCAATAAATTGCGATACGGCTTAATGGATTTGTTGTTTATCGCATAACAAAAGTGTTAATACTTGTTTTTGGTAATAAGTAAAATTTAAAAGCTACAGCTGTTTGAATGCAAAAAGTCAAGTATGCTCAATGTACCCCATAGGTGGGACAAGTTGAGCACTAAGAAAGTATAATGAAATCATAGGTTCAATGTCGATTAGTGATGAAATAAAATAAGTTTTTAATAACCAGTTCTATATTTATAGTCTTTATTGACAGAGAAAACAAAACTTATAGTAATTTGCTTTGAATAATTAACGATTAATTAACTTAGGAATTATTTTACCATTATATTCAGTATTTTTATTTAAAATCATTATTTCTTTATATCATTACTCATAGACTTAGCTTAAATCTTAAAAATAATAATTAATTTCTGGAAGTTAATGGTAATTGTCTTAGTGACAGAACAAGTTTAGCAACTATGCTCAACTAGCCCCAACTCGGAATTTCAAAATAAAAGTGAGTTTATAAAAAAAACGTGATGATTATGCCCAGAATCTCTGTGCATATTAAAAGTACTATAATTATATGGAAGAATAAAATTTACCTGGTCAAAAATAAATAACATTTGACTAAACTAGACAAAAACTCGTGATGAATGACTTTTTTACTTTTTGGTCTGAAAATAAACAATACGCCCATGAGCCTCACTCATTTGTCCAGCGGCCACTAGCGATCGCGGGATGTTTATTTCTCCCAAAACTCTATCTTTCCGCCATATAATGCCTAAAAGGACGGTGAATAGTTTTCGAGATATTTCGATTGCTCAACTTGCCCCTATGCTCAACTAGCCCCGCCCTACCCTATCCCATTTATGAAAAATGAACATGAGAAACTAAAGAATAATTATTTTTTTTATTGTTATTATATGAAATTTTGTAATGATTTCCAAGACATATGTTTTTAAAAATATGCATTAAAAATGATATATAAAATAATATTAGTAATAGAAAGCGAACTGATTTAATACATATTTCATAATCGATAAAAACTTTATTATTATAATAAAAAATCATAGTTTTAATACTGCTGTTCTGAAATTATTCATGGAGCAGTGAATGTGGAGATGAGGCAATGAGCAATTCAAATAATTTGAATTTTTATCATTAAATGTAAATATAAAGTTATATAATGCAGTTGATTATTTTATGCGCATTTTCTTTTCTTTATCGCCACTTCGGAAGAATATTTGTTAAAAAATTCTAAAACTTTTTATTCCTTATTTTCTTAAAGATTGAAAGAGAAAAAAATTAGTCCACCTTATAAAAAATTCTAACACTTGATGAGAATTTTAGCCAAAAAAGGATACCAGCATCAATCTATCTACTGAATTGATGATGATGGACACTAAATAATTAATTGTAAAACTATAAAACTTGAATATTTTGAAAATTTTGAAATGACCAGTGACTATAAAATAGCTTAGAAAAACTTAAATGAAGAAGAATTCAAGACAGAGCTCCTTGATTTAAGTAAATTTAAGAATTTTGCAGATTGGATTTCAGCTTTCTTCACAATTCTATTATTTTCTCCTATTACTTTTGCTTAAATTTAGTTGCTGTGTAGGGTTTTAATTTCTGCAATTGATTTCAGTACTTTTAGCCTTACAACTGTTAACTGAGCTCTAAATTGATCTGTCTAAAAGCTAGATCTTTGCTATTCAATGGAGATTGGTACACAATATTAGCTTCTAAAATCTAATCTCCAAATGGCAAGGCGTCAAATAATGTTAATCATGAAATACCAGAAGTAGCTACTTCGTTTCAATTAATTTTAAATCAGAAATAATTCTGAAAACATTGAGGTGTATAAAATTGTTGCTTTGAAAAATATTTTTAAAATGTATATAATATTATAAATTTACCCACAACTTAGTCTTTTGATCATCAACTAGAAAGCATTGTCTAAGAAATAAAATAAAATAAGATATATAGGAAATGAGAAAGAAAAAGGGAATTGAAAGGGATCACTATAAGGAAATATGGTTAGGCACATAAAATAGGTATAAAAATTCAAATTCAAAACATAAAAAATTTGTGGTTATAAGCAGTTGAACCCTCTTAAGTATTTTCGTGCATGGTGGAAAGTTGACATATTCATCATTTGGGAGACCAAGGCTGAAATAAAAGTTTTTCCAAAAACAAAATGTTTTCATCAAGTTAGAGTTGATGACTTGCATGAGAAGAAATAAAATATCTCGAGCAGCACTCGCTATTGTTATTATTGCACAACTTAGAATTTTTATTTCAATTACAGTGTTTACAAAATAATTTGTATTTTTTGCATTAATTTCTCTATTACTTATTAGATTGGGCTCCCCCGTAGGTAAGCGGTTAAGAGCGAAAGGACTTGTTTTAGAGGTCCCGGGTTCGATACCCACTTCGAGCAGCCAGTTGTCAGGCAACAGTGACAACGATTTTCTATTGGAAATATAGATAGCAATGTTTCCAAGTGAAAATAGCCCTTGCCCGGCATTGCTGCACCAATAAAAAAAAGTCAGCACTATTAGATTATTTCTAATAACAAAAATCATCAAATATGGATGGATTAACCATTGGGTTACCATCTAAAAATACGAAGTAAGGAGAAGTTTCAGCCCAACAGCTCATAGGACGTAAGGTTCTGATTGCTGTTAAAAATATAATTAAAAAAAAAACTTACTAGATCACAGTTTCTTAATCTGTCGTTTACCATTTTCCAGGATCTGCAGCTCGAGATATCAGCCCAGGGTCGCGTAGTGGGTGCACTGTTGAGAGCCTACGGCAAAGAAGAGAAATCGAAGGAAGAACTAGATTCAACTTGTACTAGCAGCGAAAATCCTTCAGGAGATTGTCCTCGAGGAATTCGAGGCTTGGAGAGGAGGTATCACCTGTTGTACCTGCGCGCACTTGAGTGGCAGTGTCTGCTGGAAGGACTGCTGGCATCTTCGATACCATCGGTGAGTTATTAAATATTTATTATTTAGTTGTTGTTTTGATAGATTGATGATATGATAAATATTAATATTATAATATATTCGTGTGCAAACGTTGATTTTTCACGGATTTTGAAGGGAAAATCAGGGCTCAAACTTGTCCTGGTCGAACGAGAAATATGTTGTCATACTACTGATTTTGATGGGAGTTACTGAACAGATGTTATTTATTCCTCGTTTTTTAATATACGTAATTTGAAATACTATTCTGTATAGTAGTAGGTATTATTATATCCATGTCCTAACTTGATTTTTTGCCAATTTCGATGAGTAGTCAATTAAGGTCTCGAACTTTTCTGGATGAACGACAACTATAACTTGTCTATGATACTGATGTTTCCATTTATGATGTTTTGATGATGAAAAAAATAATTAATATGTAGTCTATCAATTGATCCGGTCATATACGAAACAAGTATAAAAAAATGCATAGGCTTCAGGGCAGTCAATGTTGGGTAAATTTAATCATTCAAAAATTGAAAAATCCAAAATGATTTTTTTAACGAAATAACTTCAGAATGAAAATATAACGTAAAATAACACGTAGGAGTTTTTTTATTTATAGCTAAATTTTTATTATAAGACTGGCATAAATTTTCATTTTAAAAAAACACTAACAATAATATAGACTGATTGGCATCTATGGTTGATTGTTTACTGTGATATATCTTCTCTAAAAACCAAGGAGAACCATGCATTTTCATAAAATCATTATTTATTTTTCTAAAATGTGTTGATTTCTACTGAGTTTAATTATATTTAAATTTTATTGATTGCTTTTATTTGATTTCATCATGCTTTTAAATTTCATATTGATTTATGCAAAAATAGTATCGAACAATGCTTCATTCATTCTTTCACATAATAAATTGTTTGATAATTTCTGATAATTTTGATAATTTAAACAAGAAATATTTGCTTGTCTACTACGAAAAGATGTCTCAAGTTTTTCTAATAATAGTACCCATGCCCTTAGATTAGTTCAGAGGCTATTAACCTAGTTTTTATAAAGTTTTTGGAACATTGTGTTGACTTATACATGCCAAAACGATTAGTTCCTGATATATTGGGAAAAAAGTCTATTGCTAAAAGTCTATTGTCTATTGTAACTTTGTAAAATGGTAATCAGAAGGTTTCTGCGAGATTAAATATTCAGAACAAAATTAATATTTATCTATCTGAGAAGCCATCGATTAAGACTATATAGTTTTTCAACTTAGCTATATTGTACTTCTAAACCTTTTATTTGCTAAGGACAATTAAATAGTATGAATTAAAATAATGAATGAGTTTGTACTGACAATAGGTATTTTTCCTTGTTTTTTTTTTTTGAAAATGTGATAATAATTTGACATAATTTTGCGAAATGTTCTAATTAGCTATATCGTAAATGCTATTTGGTCTCAAAATATATTTTTTTAGTAAATATGATTTTCAAGAGCTGTTCTTGGACCGAGGCATGATAGTTAGCTTCAGTAAAATCTTCTGCATGTATTTTATGATAATTCTGGTTTTTATTTTTCTTTTTTTCCTTTTTAAGTGTAATTAGTACTACATAGTTGATCAATTCGAAGGAAGTTATCAGTCAGCCAATTATGCAATAGCTTACCTGAGGAGTTCATTAAAGGTCTTGGTTATTTTGAAATTGTACTTAATCTAAGTTACCTACATTTATTAAACCAAATTAGTAATCGAAATTGGAACACAATACATACATTCAAACTTTATTTTAATTTTCCTAATCTTGACTATTCAAAAGTTGTTAAAAACAATGGATTATAGTAACACACGACTAGTTAATTCTAACGCGTTTTCAATTTTTTGCAATTAATCTTTAGTGCTATTCATAAATATTTAGTAGTTAAGTAGTACTTTTATAGATTGTAGTAAGTCTTCTTAAATAGTAATTAACATCACCTACTTATTGGAATTTATCGACACTAAGAAGATCCACTCGTGTCCTCTTTCGAGATGGGTAATGGGAGAGATAGATGTGTTAATTAGCACATCTAATGAGTTGCTTTTTCTTATATATATATATATATATATATATATATATATATATATATATCGTATATAGATATATAAATTCGTATAATAGATATATAGTATGCAAATACATCTATATTCCAACACCAGGTTGTATCACCTGTAGTGATTAGTGGACGCAAATGGCCAGAGTCTTATTTATTTTCTAAAAATCTTTCTTTGCTTAATATTTCTGTTATTTAAAAGTAACATTTGCAGCTTTATTTATCATCGTGATTAAATGCATTTACATACAGGCAAAATCATTTTTGACATCCACATTTTTTTTTAGATTTTACATAGAATGTATACACGTAAAATCCTACAAATGGATTGTAGAAGTTTAATATATAGTGTAGTGACTTTTCTGCACAATAATGAAATTTGCAAAATTTTGCAAATAAAAATAATAGAAAAAGTCAAAAAATCAAAATAATACCAAAGCAAAATGATACTAAGGGGAAAGGCAAAATGACTTGTTAGCTATGTATTATAAAAAATAATTCACAATAGCATCAGCTCTGTTTTTATTTATTGCAAAGTCCACATCATCCATTTCTTCACAATATCATTGCAGACATATCCCATCTACTAATAAGTGGGATAATAATAGTCGAAGGCGTCTCTTACTCCATTACTCCATTACTCCATTAGTCCACTGTCAACCAAGAGTGCCCTGAAAGAACTGTAATAGATTTATAAGAGTTCGACGATAAATGCCATTTGCAATTGCTTATGCAAATATCAGTGGAACGATTTAGATTTAGATCAAATCGAGAGTTTGTTTCGATGTAAATTAAATATGAAGTGATTGCATTGGTCTGAATTTCAATTGACTGATCTATAACTACAAAGTTCATCTTATATGATCAATTAAACATATTTTTGACGATATTACGATATTATAATTTTGGCAAATAGTTAGAGTAACATATAATTTAATATCTGTGATGAAGACTTCTGGATTTTTTTCTTCAAGGTGAATTTATACTATTATGACATGTTTTATCATTGTGCCAAAGCTAGGTAATATTGGATATTATTGCTCTATATTGAAGTAAAACTTTTGGAAAAAAAACTTCTTTAGGCGCGATTAGGGTGTAAATCCGTACAAATGCAACGGAAGTGCGTTACGGCAGATAAGATAAGAGTCGAGTGCCAATGATTCGTCATTCGCTGTCGATGATATCATTTCTATACGGGTCGATTGTGATTAGTCGTCTCTTTATATTATTCGTAGTTTCTATAAATCCTGGAAGTTATTAAAATGGAAAATATTTTTAGGCAACAGAGATATTACAGCTGTTTAATGAATGAGATTATATCGCGGAAAAGTAAAAAAATACAAGCAGTCAATGAATGTATGTTAATTTTAATTCTATTACGTTCTTCAAACACAATTACATGATAAAAGTTGCGAAAACAATATTTGTTTAGGCGTTGTTTAACATAATCCACTGTGTGAACGAATATTATAGAATTTATTAATCAGCAATTACTTGATTTCTCTAATAAAGGTTTATTTCTAAATGCTAATTGCAATGACAAACCGATGACGTCATATTTGAAGTATAACTTTAATTACATTATTGTTTTTAAATATTATACATATTTTTATTGCTATTATCTATTATATAAAAATAAGTCGGGTTTTCCTTCCTGACGATATAACTCTAGAACGCACGAAGCGATTTCGACGATTTTGTATTCGTTAAAAAGGTCTCGGACTTCGTGAGGTTTATAGCAAAGAAAATTGAAGAAAGATTTTAACAGGAAAGCGGAAAACACTTTTTCTTTTTTCACAAACAGCGCCATCTTTGATACTTAGCATGTACCACAAACTAATATTTTTTGTTTGACTGCAACCCATTTGTTTGACAGCTACTCATTGTTCTCTGCTCAGTTAATTTCATATGACAAACCGGCATTGTGTTCACTGTGAAATTGCGCAAAAAAGTGAAAAAATGAGTTATTCGTTTCCTAACATTTCAATTAGAAACCATCAAATCAGTCACGTGTATTGTGCAAATTTTTATTCAATTTCAACAGCAGGCAATTTTTTTTCTTCATCTTTTAATCACCAAACGAAATGTTACATAAAATGAAACCATTTGGTGGTGAAACGGAGTTCGTACAGCTTGCTAGTAAATATATAATTTATAATTTATCATTATATAAATGTGTATAATGGTTGACACTAATAAATATGTGCATCATCAGTGTTATTATCATATTACTGATAAACATTATTCAAAATTGTTATATGATGTATTTATTTTTACTTAAATGCCATCTTGTACAGTAGCAAATAAGTTTTACTTTAATCGCGTGTGAATCTTACGCGCACTCTTTTTTAAATGGAATTTACATCACTGCCTGTTGAAATACTACTTTTGTGCAGAGCTATTTTTCGTTTTTAACTTTTCTTATATGGAATTAAAGTGACCTTTGAATAGCTACCACAATTTTGGCAACATTTTGAACAAAATAAGTGTGACCTTGCCATAAGATGTATAACCAAGAATAAACCAATTGTACATAATTTCAAAGAGATTTATTAGAACACTGCAGTTCTTTAGTATGATGTTTATAACCGATAATTATTTGGAATTTACAACTAAAAGTTTCAACTAACATTTTATTGCATTTTTAAATCTCATTTACTCACATGCAATAAAATTGTTTAATTATACATTCGGCACGAATTGAAAACTCGTTTTTAATATTGCAGTGTGCTGTAACTTCGATTGAATCATGATTGAAACATATTTTACGATTGTGTTGTAAAATTAAGAATATATGTTTATTGATTTATAAAAGTGCATTTAGTTTCATAAAACTGTGCGTTCACTTGCAACTTCAACAAATAACTTATCTTATCGTGTTTAAATTAACAATATTATGACTGACGCATAATCAACATGTCAGGAGTATGG